GCTTGGGTGATGAAAAGTTCTTGGAAACTGCACACAGTTGGTGACGGCTGCAACAATCACTGTGGGGGTTCTGAATGGTGCTCGAATCCACACATTAAAAATGGTTAAAATGGGCCCAGGCACGATGGCTCACGCCTGTAATCCCACATTTTGGGAGGCGCCGAGGGCGGGTGGATCACGAGGTCCAGGAGACCGAGACCAATCCTGGCTAACACGGTAAAACCCCGTCTCTACTAAAAATACACAAAAAAATTAGCCAGGCATGGTGGGGGGGCACTGTAGTTCCCAGCTACTCGGGAGGCTGAGGCAGGAGAATGGTGAGAAACCCGGGAGGCGGAGCTTGCAGTGAGCTGAGATCATGGCCACCATACGCGCAGCCTGGGCAACAGAGCAAGACTCCATCTCAAAAAAAAAAAAAAAAAAAGGTTAAAATGGGGCTTGGGCTAGGTGGCTCATGCCTGTATACCCAGCACTCTGGGAGGTTGAGGGGGTGGATCACCTGAGGTCAGGAGTTCTAAGACCCATGCTGGCCAACACAGTGAAATGCCATCTCTACTAAAAATACTAACAATAGCCAGGCATGGTGGCAGGCACCTGTAGTCCAGCTACTGGGAACCTGAGGCAGGAGAATTGCTTGAACCCAGGAGGCGGAGGTTGCAATGGAGCCGAGATCGCGCCACATTGAACTCCAGCCTGGGCAACAAGAGCAAAACTCTATCTCAAAAAAAAAAAAAAAGTTAAAATGGTAAATTTTATGTTATGTATATTTTACCGTAATAAAAAAATTGTAATGCTACTGTAACAGAATGACTTATTAGGATTAGATATAGACTAGAAAGTACAGAATATAAAAACTTTTTAAAGAAAGAAAAACGTTCACGGCCAGGCCTGGTGTCTCACACTCGCAATCCCAGCACTTTGGGAGGCCAAGGTAGGAGGACTGCTTGAGCTCAGGAGTTTTGAGACCAGCCTGGGCAACACAGCAACACCCCATCTCTACTAAATAAATAATAAAAAAATAGCCAGGCATGGTGGTGTGCACGCCTGTAGTCGCAGCTACTCTGGAGGCAGGAGGATCCTTAAGTCTAGGAGGTCAAGGCTGCAGAGAGCCATCGTTGTGCCACTGCACTCCAGCCTGGGCAACAGATCAAGACGCTGTCACAAAAAAAGAAAGAAAGAAAAGAAAGAAAAGAAAAGAAAAGATAAAAATTTCCAGAACTTTTAAAATTATCATTAATATAAAAATAACATCACCTGCCCCTAGGACTGTAACAAACAAGTGTGTCTAAGGACAGGAGTGGGTCCACCCCAACCTGGCACACAGTGGTCCCCTGCAGAGAATCTGGCCCTGCACTCACTAAGGGGAGGCATTCACAGCCCAGCCAGGCCTCTGCAATTATGCCTTCAATGCCAGAACTAACTCACCCAAACTGAACAATCAATCACAAAATGTGCCTTCAGGACTCAAGGTTCTTGCTAAATCACACTCAACCTACATTTTCTAGCATGTGAACGTTTTTCTGAACGTCTTAGGGAGAGGAAGTCTGCAGGAGAACAAAAGGTCCTCAGTCCACCTAGCTTCTTTTCCTCCATTCCACAGGCTGCCTTTTGTCTGAGTATGCACTGGACCGGTGGGGGGGGCTCTACTTCTTCCTAACCGGGCAAGGGTCTCCACACAACTCCAAGGTAAAGGGCCACAGGCAAGATAAAGGGGAGAAAAGAAAGAGCTACAACTTCCCGTACACACTTCCTGCTTGGCCGTCGGTGGCTCACGCACTGTAATCCCAGCACTGTTGGGAGGACGAGGCCAGGGTGGATCACGCAGTCAGGACGGCATTTGAGACCAGCCTGAACCACCACGTGAACCCCGTCTCTACTTAAAAATAAACAAAAATTGACCGCGGTGTGGTGGCGCACACCTTTAAATCCCAGCTACTCAGGAGGACTGAGGCAGAAAATTGCTTGAATCCGGGGAGGCGAGGTTGCAGTGAGCAAGATTCGCGCCACTGCACTCAGCCCTGAGCAACCAGAGCGAGACTCCTGTCCTCAATAAAA